AATTTTCAGTTCGTGCCTACACCTCCCCTTCCTTTTTTTGCCAAGAGTGCTGAGCAAAAGGCAGTATTGCGTGTTGTTTCTTTCAACAGACACTTCCTCTTTCCGCTAGTTTCCCCCACAGCAAAGAATCCCTGTGGTCACACAGTAATGCAGATGGAGGTACCTCTTCCCTGTTGCGTAGTTGCCACACCTAGCTTGCTCACTCCCTGCCTCTCCTCCTACACTCTCCACTCATCTCAGACCACACCTATGTGACAGCCCAGGGAGGGGCCTCGCACAGCCAGGATGTTCAGTACTGCAGAGAACACAAATCTGTCTGTGGCAGGGCCTGACTATGTAGCTTGCAGGCATTGAACGTTTTAGCAAGGAAAAAAAAAGAGGGCAGAGCCTAGCAAGCCCAGAGAGAGAGAGAGAAATTATAGGTTAAGCGTGAATAGAAGCCTAGACGCACACACTCCCACTCCAGGACATTCTGTACTCCAGCAGCAGTCATAACTCGGGGATAAAGGAAGAAGGCTCAGCATCAGCGGTGTTGAACAAAATTAAACTTTGGATTTCCCATCGTTACAAAGATGGCTGGGCAAGAGAGATACAGAAACCGCTCCACGAACAGCCTGGGAAGAGACCGTATTTCCTCCGAGGAGGGATACTACATGGGGATGCTCAAAGCAACAGATGAGAGAAAAGGTACCACCATGAGGGGCTCTGAGCTCATGACAGCAGTGTGAGGAGGCAGAGGTGTAGCAAAGAGCTGGTAAACTGCAGAGGCTTTTGAATGTGCTGTTTCATTGTTTTTTTTATTAGGTTGCAGCGGGTAACCGTGAGAGCAGGGAGAGGTTTGTTCATTTGGTAGCAATTTTTAGAAATGCATCAGCTTTCACTCTGGCTTTTCGTGGTTAAGAGCAGTCAGCTTTTTGATTACAGCAGTTCGGCTGTGTGGAGTTGTTCTAAATATGCTTCCCTCATTCATTAGAGCTTTACAGCTTAGAAGCGCTTAGCTGTTGATCTTAAACTTTGTTTTTTCTCAGAATGTGTTTTCTTTCTCTAAAGCAGCTATGACATTTGTGGTCAGCCTCTAAGAAGATCCCTCAGGGTGGAATTTTCATTCAAACAAGCTAGAAAGCAAAAAAGAAGGGAAAATAGATTTAAAGAAGTTTTGTATGTTACATTGTATTCACTGCAAGCATCCTGCTGCTCAGTCCTTACCTCATATGCGTCCTAATACAGATCTTTTTGCTACAGTTTTATAGTACTTTTTGGTATTTTTGCAATTTTAGAATGTGGGACTTTGCTGAAGTTTGACCTTTATTTTAAGTCACCATACCAGGTCAAAGAGGTGGACATGATTCAAATCCCAACTCAGCTGAGCTTCACTGTATGACTTTCAGCAAATCACACCCCTTCATGCGTCAGTGGAGTTCCCAGTACTATTGGCTATAAGCAGGCCTTTGAGATACAGTACATAAAGCTGATTCTTCTGCAGGCTGTGAGTGAGCAGACATGGAAAAAGAGTAAGTAATGGGTTTATTCCATGCTGAAAAAAAGAAGAAAGAGAACACAACGTTTCGGCCGTGGAGTCTTCTTCAGGTGTGCTCCACGGCCGAAACGTTGTGTTCTCTTTCTTCTTTTTTTTTCAGCATGGAATAAACCTATTACTTGTTGCTTTGCAGCCTACGCATGCTGGCGCAGCTACCCACATGGAAAAAGAGTTAGGCATACAATTATTGTAAGTCCTTGACAGACTGTATTCACCCTCTCTGTTAATAAACGATTCATTTTAAGTATGTAGCACATTACCCATACTTAAATAATTATTTCTACAAGTGTTAGGGAACTGCAAATGTTTACTTGTCCTTAAGGTGATTTTACATAATTTCTTTCTTTGGCTACTGTGCCAACATATCTGTACATGACAGAGCTGGTAAGAAGCGAAATTGCTGCTCTGGAGGGAGGAGCTGCTTACGGTGAAAGTGTGTTAAAGATTTTTTTTTAATTGAACTTGGTGTATTACAAAAAATGAGTCACACGGTTAGCTTAGATGTGGGGAAAGATGTTGGGTGTCTGTCTCCGTGTTGTGATTAATTTAATTTAGATTCATGAATGGTATTTTTAAATCTGAAGAAAGCGAAATTGTAGCTGTATATGTGTAACATTCACAATATAGTAGTGTTAAAATTAGTTTAAACCTGCTTTGGCTTCTCCCCTTTTTAATGCATTTTGAGAAGCCTCTCTGCTTTTTTTGTGTGTTTTACTACTTTTTTGGCTGCCATTAGATCACCAATTTCCACAACACATTCTGCTCCAGCACTTTGTCACTGAAGTGTCCTACATTACACAGAGTTTGTTTTGGGTGGCTCTGTTTGTAAAACTCTTCTCTGTGGGATCAGTTACGCAAAGGGAGGTGGCTGCAGATGTTTGGAAATCGACATGGTGCAGCACATTTAAGAAGTCGGATAGATGCAGAAAAGACTGGATGTGTATGTGTGTTAGCTCTTGTATGCAAGGCCCAGTAAGTTCCAAGAAATTTTCCTTTCCAAAGAGTTTACATTGTCCGTTGTCAAGGCAGTAGCTGTCGTTTCGTACAGGCCCTGGTTAGTGTGGGACTGTGGTCAAGAATTTATTACTCAGGTGTATTGCAGAATAATAGCATCAGTGATGCCCTATACAGGCCCAGATATTGAAACCTTGTGCAACAGGTCAGAGGCCAGCTTTCTTTTCAGATGAGATTGTCAAATGTTAATCTTTACGACCAGTGTGTAGGTGGATGTACAGTCCTTTATTTGAACAGCACATATAAAGGAATTTCCAGGAGGGTGACTCCTGCATCATTAAGTGGCTGAGCAGTCAGCTCTGTTCCACAATGGAGAAGGCTACAATTGCCAGGGCAACTAGCAGCAGCAGATAACAGATCTTTGAAGATGAAGCAGCATGGGGATTCTTTTAATGTTATGAGTCACTGACGCTTGAATACCACTTGCTAATAATCTCCGGGGTGTGGTATAAAGGACTGAGTTTGCTAACTTCCTGTTACATGCACACCACTATTTCTTTTTTATTTATCATGGCAACTCCTAGTATGTATTTATTTGAATGAGAGAGTGCTGCAGTAGAGGGGGATAGATTTTGGTATTGAATTTATTACATTTGCATGTTTAAAAAGGTGCCATATTTGAACTGCAGACTAACTAGCATCTAATCTGAGCAGAAAACGGAATTACATTACCAGTATCAGTCCCTGTTCCATTGTAAGTCTCTTTTAACATAATTTGATTAGAGTATCAGAGCTGCAGATCACTTTGACAACTGGGATTGTAGCACATTATACTTTCTTTGCCTAGTGTTTGGGACCACACATTATTTCCCTTTAAAGTAAGTATCAGTGGACATAGAACATAATTTTGTCCCACAAAAAGTGTTCATGAGACTGCAGTCTACAGCCCTACAAATGAACTCAATAGTGTATATGAATGTGAGGTTGATGCTGATCTTCTTTTTGGTGAGCAACATTTGCATTTATTTTCAATGCTTCAGAATATGACAAACGAACAGCAAAATAAAACCTAGTAAAAAAAAAAGTCCTTCGCACACCCCAGGAGTGGCAGGGCAGTTTTCCAAGTAAAGCAAGCACTGACAGACTGCTGGGTAAATCAGTATGTGAAACCATAAATGCAGAGCACAAATTATTACTGTGCATGATGGAACAGGCTTGTTAAACAGATCATAATAATAAAATAGTTAAACAAATAGATATGTGTTTTGTAATATCCCTTACAGAACTTAGATCTAAATCTAAAAAAATCTTTAAATTTAAATCTTTGGATAGATTTTAGCAACAGCTTTGACCGCCTCTGTGACCTATCATGTTGTTCTGTGTGGTTTTTTACTCTTATTGTTAAATGGGATACCTTTCATCGCTGCAGTCTGAACATGCAACACCAACCTCTTGGACAGTCATCTGATTTCCTTGATTTGGAATCTTCCAATGGACAGTCATTAAATTAACCAATTTGCTTAATTCCTTTAATCCCTTCTTAGTGGTTTTTCCTTGAGAGGGTGATGAAGAGAAATATTTCACAGAAATATGGTGTCCTTGTTTAAGAAATATTGGTATTGATAGGGGCAAATCCCACTCGAGACTTTCCAAGTCTCATTCCTCATTATGCCCACTAGTTTACAGTGTTCTTAGACAGTTGTGTTGCTGCAACATTCTTGTGTAATGACAAACCTTTGAGCACATATACAAGCATGTGGTTAAAAATCTGTGATCTTGAATATCTGCTAAGTCAGCTGTACTTTGTCAGGGCAGCTCTTTCAGTCCTCCCTGCTCCTCTTGCATCTTGTTTGCTTTCTCTCTCCACCTGGTCATTAGTGCAAAGATGAGTGAAGTGAGAGGCAAGGATGACTGATAAGTCTGCTGTTAGCAGGTCAAACATCAGCCCTCTGTCAAGGCTGGGGTCGAGTGTCTCTTCTTCATTGTTTCTACTGCCCGGGGCAATGATTAGAGAACCCAGGCAAACGTTCCTGGCAGGATGTGGGAGTGACGTCCTTCATCCAGTTTGCAAGGGCATGAGATCCTCCCTCTTCTGTGAAATGTTAGGGCAGCTTGTGTCGGTGACTCAGGATGAGCTTACACTGTGTTTTGGTTATAACAGTGAAATCACTCTTCATCTCCAGGTGTTTGGTCTGGTTTTGTGAGATAACACGTTCCATACTTGCTGAAGTATTTAAAAAAAGGCCATTACACGATTTAAATGATGATGGATTACATCACATTCGTCATGCCTCTCCTTTGTTCAAGAATCCTAAAGTGCTGGTCATTTCCCTGTCACTTAATTTCTCTAAAAAGATTATTTTTAGTATGTATAAATCTAGTGCCTTTCCTTTCATTCTAAAATTCTCTTTAACCTTTATTTTGTGTCAAGACTCTGCATTTGTGCCTCTGTTTTGATAGAATTGTTCAACACAGTTAAAGCAGATCTTTCCATTTGTTTCTTCAACAGATGAGAGAGACCGAGTACAGAAGAAGACATTTACAAAATGGGTCAACAAACACCTAATAAAGGTAAGACAGCTTGTGTTTTAGTGCTGCTTGTCCACACCCCCTGCTCCACAGGAACAAGAATTTGATGCATTAGTTTATGTAGGAACAGATACATTTATAGAGCATGGGTAGCACTGTTGATTGTTTTCGTTCCTAGTGGGACACCTGAATTCTGGCCTGTATCTCAAAAACACCTATAGGCCTTGATGTATTTTAACTTAACACACAATACATGTCCAATTGAAGACCTGGCATTTGGTTAATTTGTACAATTGATAAGATGGCATTTTTTTTTTCCGTGAGCTGTTCTCAGGATGCACATTCTTCACAGGGAAATCTTGACAAATTTCATTTCTTCATCTTCCCCATTTAAAACTGTTGACACAGTACCAGGATCTCGATGTATCATGGAAGTCTGTGATCGCTGCTGATTTAATGCAGTAATTAATGCTTTGTGAAGCATGGGCTGTTTAAGTATGTGTTTTAAATCTCCATGCTTACAAATTCAGGGTTCAGATTTACAATTAAAGTAGTTAAGCAAGGTTCTGCCTACATAGCCATGAATGCATAAGCAGTGCAAGTGTGCATTGTGACAACAATTATTTGGCTTATACCATTAAAACACATATTATTAAGCAGACTTACTGGGTAAAATACACATTTATAGCCCTAACAGGGCAGCAAAGATTCTGCTTAAGATAAAGGGATTTCAGAGGGGAATGTCACACATAATTGAGCAATTTTAAAAAGCCAATATAAATGTATCAACTGAGAAGATGGTATTACTGGCAGCCCCTCATTTATATTAATGTTAAATTTTAGGACTAGGAGTAAAATGTCATATTTGGTCAATATTGTCAGGGCACCCAGCAGCATTGAAACTTCTGCAGTTGTCTGTTAGATATTCTCTAACATATATCCCATACCTGTGAGGAATTTGCACTACAAATAAAACTCTGTAGAGTAAACCAATTTAGCAAGTAGGTGTCATTATCTCAGTAGAACATTTCATTCAGTCCAGCATGAATCTGTTCATTTATTACACCACTGTAGTGCCCATGCTTGTAAGAATGTGTTCTTTGGAAAGATTTGAGGTGTGTCCTTGCATGACTGATGCTCTGACATCTGAGTGTAGATAAACAGATAACATTCATCGCTTGTGGACCAGTATGCGATTAACACTTAAGGAACTGACTTGTTTTTTAACCAAATGGAAGTAAGTTACGGTAAAAGTAATGTAACCATAAAATTCAAAATAAAAAATTGAGATCTGTGGATTAAAATGCCTAAAAAACTCTCACCTCAGTATAGTAATTCCTAAAATGCAGTCTAGGGCTAAAGGTGTTTCTTTGTGTAGCTTCCCCCCATAGAACCAGTTATGTACTGATGACTGAAGTAAATCTTTGTTGATGTAACAAAGGCTATATCAGTGTTGGTTAAATTTTACCTTTTGAAATACAATGTTGTTGTTAGGAATGCTTCTGATTTGTAGTCATTATCAGCATATTGAATGAAAGAACACACAAAAAATCAAGTGATTACAAAACAGCTTTCTGGTTCTTAGAGTCACAGATTAACCAAGCATCTGCATTATTTTCACAAGGTTTGGCTTTTGTGGTCATTGTAGGTGCTTGATTACTAGTTTCTTTACCTCAGAAAACATAGAAAGGCTCTTAATACTTTTAATCCACCAGAGAATTACTACACTCGTTTCTACATTCTAACTTCTTACGTTTTGAAATATGGGAATTTGTAACCTTAATGACATCGCCACTTTTTGGCCTCGGACATCCGTAAACAGTAGCGATTATGAAAGAAGAGTAATCATTGTCTCTGTAGTCATTGTATCCCACAGTAAAAAGCAAAGATTCCCTAAAGGTTCTGCATTCGAGGAAAGCTGAAAATGTGCAGTGCAGTTGAACATTTAAATATTAAAAGAAAAAGTCTACTATTGTAGAGTTAACATACTGTTCAGATCTTCTACTTTTGTTGCATGTTTTAGTATTTATTTGAATTTAGGACTTGAAAGTAAATGTTGGATTTTGTAGCTGTTATGAAATCGAACACTGTGATGTGTACAACCTCATGATCTGTTTTTAGTGTTAGTTATTAAATACGACTCGCCTCACTCCGCTCTCATTCGGCTAAAGCCCGTTTTCTGCCTATCCCTTACTCTCCAGGAGTCTCTTTAAAAATGGTCTCGATTGGACTTCCTGGTGATGTCAGTGATGAATAGTAGTCAATCAAAGAACTTGCAATGCCTTATAGATTATCTGCACTTTTAATAACACTGTATAGACGCGGTAAAGGAATGGGTGCCTGGAGAGGAAGTGTTGGGCCAGTGAGCTTCTGCTGTGTGGTGAGGAGTGAGGCGCGTTGCCATGGCAGCAGCAGCCCTGTAGACAAACCAGGACAAAACCCGTGAGGCAGCTTGAGCGAACAGCGGTTGAAAAATGTCAGAACGATTTTGGTCTGAATCATAGCTTTTGCGGTTTACTTGATTCTGTAGCTGCTCACGGCAAGGCTCTTTGGCACTTTGTGCCCATACGTGTTTGAGTTTATGTTTGTTTGGAGGAGCAGCTGTGTGGTTTAATTATGAAGAACACCTTATTACTATTGTGCAGTGTCAATGGAAATGGCCTCATTCATCCTTTGAAGAATTTTTAAAATGAAAAGGAAGCAATAAAATCAGATGTTGTATGTTTTGCCCATAAAATGTATAATCCTTGATGGATGCCAGTAAATTTGTGTATTTTGAATATAAAATACAGTTTATGGAATATAAAGTAGAATTGTATATGTGACCAGAAGGTTTAATACTTGGTTCATCTATTACTGATTTGCAGTTAGCCTTGATAACAGTAAATGTTTTTGTTCCTATCCATGTGCTTTGACATTTCAATTCATACTTACTAAAAGTATGAATTTGACCTACTGAACCCCAAAACATCCAAAACTTGACTCCTTTTGTCAAAAAGCACAGATACTCAGACCAATGTTTAAAGTCTTAACGGTTAGAGACTGTGGCAGTATGACTTCAGGAGGGCTGTAGACTCAATTTGAGTGTGAGGCTCTAACTGGTCTTATCTGTACTGGAGTCCTACAAATAACAATGATCTAGGTACTCTTCAATTCACAGTTGTTGACTAGTTGGCTGTAAAGTAGTCCTCCAGAGACAAGGGTTCCATTTAGCCTCCCTTTCAATCACCAGCCATTATCCCATCGTTTCATTTGAACCTTTTACTTAATCGTTCACTCACTGCTTCAGCTGACATTTTTGAATTTGCAACAGGCAAAATGCTTTAGGTGGCTATCAGTATTCTTATGTATTAAACTTCTACATCCATCCATTCTCAGGAAGCAGCTTATTCCTGGTAGCACAGTGCACAAGGTGGGGTTGTATTTCCATTTCTTTGTCTAATGTTACATGTACCTTATTTGCATGTTCCTGTTGAATTTAGTGCTTCATCCATTTGATTAAGAACAAATTGGTTCACCCCCGCTCTCCAGAAAAACCTGTTTACCCTAAACAAAAACTCCCCCATAAAGTATTGTTAATATTTAAACCATCTCACTGGCAACACAGATGTTATCTTTCTATAGAAGATAGCATGCTTTCTGTCTTCTTAGGTAAACAAAAACGCTGTCATTTTTTACAGTTCTCCTTTTTACACGGTTAATCTTCTGGTCCAATTTCTATGGCCAAAACATTCATTTTTTCTTAATCAAAGAATTACATTGTGTGCTGGCTTTGTGTTTGAGCTGATAGTTTCCCTCTGGGGCAGGGTGGTGGACACTTTGACAGACACACAATGGCTTACTGTCTCTGCAAAAACATTTAGCGGCAGCTTGAAAGCCTTCAGTTGTGTGAAGGGCTCTAACGTTTCCAAAACGAAATGCAAAGCCAAGTCCCACCTGCTTGTGTCAGTTTGAAGGTGTTAAAAGATTGTCCCCCCCCACCCCCGCCCCCTCGAGACAGATTGTCCAAACTGTCATTGTCATTCTGAGAAGGTGAAACCGTTGTTAGCAATTGATTCATTTGTGATCCAACAATTCAAATCAACAAAAGTTTCATGGCGATTCTTCAAAAAATGTTTGAATTTAGTTGAAGACAGTCTTGTGGAACCTCAGTCAACAAGAGGTAGAGATTTTTTATCCTCTGCTTTATCCGATAACTGGCTCAAATGTAGTTTCCAAAGTCTTTCTGTTGATGACTTAAAAGCCATGTGAATAAAGGTTCTATACCTATACAATATTGCAAATCCTGGAGAGAGGTATTACATTTGTTCGGGTAATCACATAATTAGAGTAGGCAGGTAACTGATAAGTAGGAGGAGGGAAATATGAAGAGCCAGAATGATCCTCCTACACATGCAACAGATGAAAATCATAGACTACAGACACCTTAAAACTGCTCCCTGTTGTCTTTAAGTAATTATAAAAGTTTTGCAGTGCCGATTACATTAATATTTTACCCTATAAATATATTTGAATAAAAGCTTATTTGGAGTTTGCATGAATAACTTTATGGACTCAAAAGCCTTTTAAATACAATAGGACACTGAAAATGAAAAGGGACTCAATAGTTAATTTAAGAAAACAATCTTTACATTTTATATGCACTACTGTACAGTGCCTTGCAAAAGTTTTTATCCCTTTCCAATGATGTCTGATTGTGTTGAATTATATATGATCTATACATTTTTAAAGCGAGTATTTAAAAGATGTTGTTTAATACAGTACAGTATGTAGCAAAGGCAGTGAGTACTTTTGCAGTCAACTGTTTTTAATTTTGGATATTTCTTTGCAGGTTTTACTGACATGTCACTACATTTACTGATAAGAATGTTCATTTTGAGCCTTCTTGTTTTGATTTTGCTCGAGTACAATCAGAGCACACATTTGAATAACTGATGGTGGACAGTGTTAAAAGAAAACTGAAATGACATTATTATCGGTGAATCCATAGCCTCGCAAAAGTAAAAATAAAAGTAGTCAAGACGCTTGAATCAGTTTTGTCC